ACTAAAGCAAATCATGTTGTTCGATAGAGAAAACAATATTATTTAGAGGAAATCATGTTTTTCTAATAATAAATAATAGTTTTCAATAAAAGAAGAATTTCTTTCATTATCTATTAAATATTGTTCCATTGAACAAAGGAGTTAAAGCATTTTCTACACTGCCAAAAGTCGCAATAACACTTCAATCTTAGGAATTACGACGTCTGGTAATGCTGGAAACGTTTTTCTGCTGGAAATTACGTCACAATTTAGTGCTTAGAGCAAAAGGCTAAGAGCTTACTACACCCAGAACCGTGGATCCGTACTAATGACTTGGTCGTGAACAAATGCACAACATGCGCGAGAATATCAAAACAATTGATGTCTTCCAAAACGTCAAAGTCACTCGCGCCGATCACGTCGCCCGTTAAACAATAGCAAATATACATATATCCCGTAGCCGAGAAAACACAATACTCTCAGAGCATTTCAGCCCTGGTGTGGTTATGGAATTATTGGTTATTAACTAATTACAAACTATCTAATTATCAGGTTACATGCGAAGTGCATATCGAAACATACCGTATTTATAGTAGCGTTAATTAGCGCCGGTTAATATGTGGTCATTAGTTAACGCTCCAATTTCGATCGAATCGTACCTTTTCGTACAGAACCATTAAGCACCCGGCCATGATAACGGCTGGGAGATGAAGGGAGGATACAGGACGCATGATGCAACGGCAATCGGCGACGAGGCTCTCGTAACTCTTTTTCCTTCACCTTTTTTAAATCTCCAAATCCTATCGAAATGTCTAACGTCGAAAATAAATAAAAGAAAAAAGGAAACAGTAGAGATTCTGAAAGAAGCAAGTTTGTCGTTATATTTACCCATTTAGCCGTTAATTTTTCTTACATTATTTAATATTTATTTTTTGCAACACTGTCTCTGCAGTCGAATAAGTTGCACATATATCATTCATATTATTTTAATTATTGAAATAAAGAATCATAAGAAATAATAAATGTGCAAGTATATTATTGAGAGAGAGAGAGAGAGAGAGAGAGAGAGAGAGAGAGAGAGAGTATGGAATATTACGAAATGTTAAAAAATATTTTTCTAACATTTTAGACTAAAGCCTACAAAATATATATCATGCGTCAAATAATTTGTGCTTAAATAATTTCTATAAGCCTTGACATAGAGATTCAACACGAAGTATTGAGATGATAGAATATCAAATAATTCTTCAGTGAGTCCTATTCTCTTCTTCTTTCGAGAAGTCTTTTCGATTGCTTCACAGCAGTGAAGCAATTTGCAGCATCAAAAGATAATATCCTGTGTAGTGTCATACCTCGAGATTCTCCACTGGTCCTTTCAGCCCGACGGAATTCGCGGGGTTAATGGTGGAGCCAAGTTTCGACTCGGGTTCTCTTTCTCTCTGTTAACTTCACGAGAAATTTATTTCAACAAAACATCGACAGAAACGCAGACGCAGTTGTTGAACCGTTCCTAAGATCGAAGGTCACAAAGTTTCAACGAACGGCATCGATGCAACGCGAGCGTTTCGGCAAAACGGGAGTCAGCTTCGACAACGCTCGCCGAAGGGGAGCACGCGACTTCCGAGACACTCTGTACTCCTCCTGCGCTCAACACTATCGGTCATACACAATAAATAATATTGTTTTATGCGTATAGCACGTAAGCTTGGCGTCTGCGCCGCAATAATCGAACGATCGCCCGGGCCGAGCCGATAAATCCGCGCGGATGGTATCGCTCGACGATAATCGTGTGTGTGTGTGTGTGTGTGAGAGTTCGTTCAATATTTAGATCGCGCGAAGAAAGCGCCGGGCAGCTCGAGTGACGCTGTGAAACACGGGTGAAAACGCGAACGCCGGTACTCGCGATATCCCGCCGGCTGTATCGTCGCGGATGCAAACAGATCGTACGGAAGACTCCACTCCACTGATGCATTCCCCGTGTATAGTAACGTCGAACATTTCCAGAGTCAGGCGTGTTATTTTGGAATATTCGTGCATCACAACTGCCGCCTCAATTAGTGCGTCGTTGCCGATTCACCGACACAATCGACCAGTCACGATGCACGAATCTTCACGAAGTGAACGACGATGCGCCCAGCTGGGAATCTTCAATGTCACTAGACCGGCCTAGGGAATCGTCGAGCGATCGCTCGGTACGCGCAGACGCGCGCGCGTAACACGTATACAATATAATTATGCCTTTGCTGCGATATTCACGTATATATACGTACGTATGTGTTATGTTATGTTATACTGGCACATATGAAATTGGCGCGCTTTTCTCATCGTGGATGAAAGCGTGGCAGGACACGGAGAACCGCCTGGTTGAGCCTCTTGTTTTGCGGTGGCAGCGAGAGTATTCCCCTTCCCCCTCCCCCTTTTTTTTCTTCCCTTTTCGCGATACATTTGTTTCCCTCGGTTACACCTCCTCGCGGAATATTTCCTTTCTTCCCGGTGTATTTTTTCCCCCTTCCTCCTGCTTCTTTTGCACATTTTTTTTCTTCCCTCCCTCGCCGCGAATGACAATCATTGGTCTCGAGTGAACGAGCAACTAAAGAACGATAAGTGTGGGTGCGACGATCACCGAGATAAGTCGATCTCTTTCCGCGAGCGGAGCGGCTGAGAAACTGCGGTACGGCCGCGGATTCGCGCGCGCGATTGCGCGATTTTATCGGGCAATCTGGAGGTTCCTTGATTCGCAACCAAAATCAACCGGAACGATTTTCATTCCGCGGTTTCGGAACGCCGTACGCGCGAATTCGTGACCAGCCCGCACGGCGGCGAGCCATTATAGACGAGAAGAAAGGAGAGTCGTTAATTAATCGCGCCACTAATTGTCTCGGATCTCTCGCTTCGATTGCCGCGCGATTGTAGTCTCGATACCGGTCTCGAACTGTCGTGAGACCGTACGCGCGCTTTCACAGGGCGCGGCGTGATGAATTAAATCAATCGAGATAACCTGTATATATATATATATATATATATATATATATATCAAATGAAATAATAAATAATAAATGATCTGCGGATTAAATTATTCATAATAATAAAATATGCACTGACGTAACAATCATAATAACCGCACGATAATGAGCGTGACCGCGAGGAGCACGTCGAGCCGCGTTTTGACGTGTCGAATAAATTATTAACACGACAAACATATGTATACATGTATATAAATCTCTCTCTCTCCGTTCATTTTGCGGCATAATTCAGTCATCGTTTACCCGCGAACGCCGCGAATCGCGCGAGTCGAGGTTGTCCGGAAGCGCGATACGCGCGTAAAAAAGGAATGTACACACGAAGAGAGGCACTCGGAGTATCACGGAACGATAAGAGCAAACGAGAATCGATACGAAAACGTACAGCGCACAGTGGTCTAAAATAGACGTTTCTCGGCCAAAGCTCATTTTTCAAAGTTCCACCTCGCAAGTTGATACGAGTGCAGTTTTATAACGTCCTATGGTATAAATAATCGTAAATTGTTATAATTTATTATTCCTTTATCGCTCATCGATAAATGCCATACTGAAAATATCGCTCATTCGAGGGAAACCTTCAGTCGCATCTGTCACGTTGTCAAAAATTGTACTACGTGTTATATTAATTTAAATAGTGTAATAATAGAGAGCATTATATATATATATATATATATATATTTAATACGCTAAAAAACATGCCTCAAAGTAAGTATATTCATATTTTATGTTTTTCATATTTCTGAAGTGAGGTACTAACTAGATTTGCGGTCGAATTAAGCGTACAATGGCGAAGTGCTTTCTTGCCAATAGTTCAGGAGAAGTTTCTGAAGGAGTATCTGAAAGTTTCTTCTGAAGAACGAACTATAAAAATTGTATAATAATCGTCGACATTTATGCCACTAAACGTCTGTTATATTCGTCTTGCTCTTTCTTGCGCCTTTAAAAATAATTGACCTTTTAGATTCGTATAACGATCCGTGCAGTTTGGAGTAAATCAGGAAATAGAAATACTCGACTGAATGATATAAAATCCCTCGTATTCGAGAACATCGTAAAAAAATGACGCGCCGCCCGGAGGAAACCATTTATAAGAAAATCGAGTTATTTCGCGTATTTATCTGAAAAGGAAGCGAGATAAATGTTGATTCGTGTGTAAATAATTACTCTTCTCCTTTAAAGACATTTTCTGCACACAGAAAAAAAGTGCTAAAATCAAGCGAACGTAAATACTTGCTTTTCAGCCTTTTAAATCAAGAGAAATATTTTTATCTCAATTTAAATATATTTCAACTGTTTGTAGTGAATATTTACTTAAGCGCAGTAATACCTTAACTTGTAAAATTACTGAATGTAAGTATAAAATGATTCTAAATTTAAGTACCAGAGTATTTACTAGAATTATATAATTCCCTTCCTCCGTTAAACGGGGCCTAATGCTTTCAAATTTCAATTTTTTGCCCAATAAATACTTCTAAAAAATAAACCCTAATATTCTCAACATTACATATTTAATACTCGTCACAATTATTTCAACACGTACGAGTAAATATCTACTTATGCGAGGGAAATACCATATCGTACAGTCAATCACATTTCTACTTGCAGTAAATATTCGCCAGAGAGTATTGGAGCGATTTCACTTGAATCAAGTGAGTATCATCGCTTGCTAACGGCAGCGCTTTCTTTTTCCGCTTACAGAAAAACTCCAGATTCAGAGTTTCGACCGAAAAGGAAAACGTTCACCCTCAGACCACTGTGCCGGAAACGTAATAAAAATTCGGCGCGTCGTTCGCCGTTCGCTAAGGTTTGCGCTCGTCTCCCAGGTAGCTCTCACGTTGGAAAAGTTGCGCCGAATTTTTATTACGTTTCCGGCACAGTGGTCTGAGGGTGAACGTTTTCCTTTTCGGTCGAAACTCTGAATCTGGAGTTTTTCTGTAAGCGGAAAAAGAAAGCGCTGCNTGATTTTCAGCCGCAGAGCGACCCTCTGCAGCGCGGACCGCAGCGCGATAGCAACGAATAAGTCGATTTCATCCCTAAGAAGTCTTCGCCTTCTACTGAGAACGCTCCTCCGCGTTCCGCCGCGCGACGGGGACGTCTCCTCTTCCTCCTGCTACCACCGATCCGCCCGCCGGGCTTGGTCCTTCTGGAAGAACTGCCATGGCAAACCGGCGGATCCTTAATTGATCTCAACGCTCGTGACCGAGTTGGCGCGACGCTCGTCCACCGTCACCGTCGCGGGGCCCGACGGCTCGACGGTGAAGCCCTCCCAGCCCTCGACGAGACTCATCGGGCTGTCGTGACGTTGCTGCTGCTGGGACACGCGCTTCTCGGCCGAGCCGGCGTTCTTCGCGTTCTGCCACATCAGCTGCTCCAGCTTGGACAGCTGCCGCTCGGTCGCGCTCCCCGCGACTTCGTTGTTCTCGAACGCCAGAATGTGCTTGTTCAACGTCGGCTTGTAGGTCTTCACCTTCGAGTGGCCCTGAATTATGTGGTACATCGGCCCGCTGATCGGCTTGTCCGGCTGCTTGTAGTGCGAGAAGATCGGGTCGGTGGTCAGGCTGGGGACGGTGGTGGTGCGAGGCGGGCCGGTGGACGATGTTGCGAGCGTCGGCTTGGCCTTCGAGGCGTCCTCGGTGCTGAGGATCTTCAGCAATGGCGTCTGGCTGGGCCTCGTGCTCTCCTGACGGTCTACGGTGGAGGTGTATTCCACGGTCGAGACGGTGGGCGCGAAGGGGGTCGAGGTGGTCATCGAATTGATGATCGTCGCGAGCAGTCGGGACGGCCGGTGGTCGACCGACTCGGTGCTCTGCATGCTCAAGGTCGACGGCGACGGCGGGCTGGTGAAGGCGACGGGGAACGGCCGCTGGTGAGCCTGGTCCAAGCTTGCCGAGGGCGCCATCATGGTTTTCAGAGGCGACGCGTGCATGTGGGCCATCGGCGAGGACGGCTGGAAGCCCGGACGCATGCTGCCGATGAAGTGCATCATGGCGTGATTCGGCCTGGACTGGGAGGCCGCCTGCGGCGGCACGAATATATGCAGAGGTCCGCGCCTGGGAGGCATCAGCGGAGCGGAAGGCGGCTGATGAGGCAGCTGGGAGGGTGGTATGATCTCGCTGAGCACGGAGACGGCGGACGGGTGGGTCTCGGCGAGGACCGGTGAGCTCGTGACCGCGTTCCTCACCGGTTGATGAGTCGTCTTCGTCATCTCGGACGTGACGGGGTTGCCCAAGGCGTTGCGCAGCGTCGTCGCCGGCTCGGACGAGGAGTTGGACTTCTCGACGTAGTTGCTCGGCATCACCACGGTGACCGGGCCCTTCTTCGCCTTGTGCGCCTCGAGATTCGCCATGGTGGCGGGCGAGTTCGCCAGGACGATGTGCATCTTCTGCGCCTCGGTCACGGCCTCGTCCACCTCCTCTTGCTCCTCTCCTTGATCGGAGGAGTCCGTAGTGCTGGAGGAGGAGGAGGAGAAGGAGACGGTGGAGGTCTGGCCGACGCTCTCCGACGTCGTCGAGGACGTGGCCTCGGTGTTGAATTCCTTTTGACCCAGCACGACCTCCTCGTTCTCGTTACTGTTACCGTCCACTACGATGTTCGCGTTCTGCCCGACGACGACTTCGTGATTGCTCGAGGCCGCAGCGTGGTAGTCCACTTCGTAGTGGTCCTTGGAGTAATCCGGGTTCTGCCAAGTGACCTGGTTGACGTCCGGGTAGCCGGTGGAGGACGACGAGGTGGGCTCATTGCCGAGCCATCCGCCGGACAGGGTCTGCGTCGACTGATAGATCAGGTTCGACTTCTCGAAGGACACGGACGGCGCGGTGGTCGGCTCGTATCTCGACCTCGTGCTGCCCTGCGACGCGGTCGGCGTATAAACGCTCTTGATCGTCTCGACCTGGGCGACAGCGGGCCCCTTGCTCGGCGGCGTCTTCGAGGTGGGGTACGGCGAGGGCGCCGGGGAGTACTGGACGTAGTCCTTCGCTCCGTGATACTGAGCCTCCTGAAGAAGCGGCCCCTCCTCGGTCTGCGTGCTGAACGGCTGGGACGAGTAGCCGATCAGCTTGTCCTTGGGCACGCCGACGTTGTAGCTGGTGGACGTCTCGGCCTTCTGGATCATCGGCGGCGGCATCATCATCGTGTAGGGCTTCATCTTCTGGCCGTAATACGGGCTGGGGTAGTAGCTCGCCGGCAACGCCTGCAGCCGGTTCTGGTTACGGTAATCGACCAGGCCGTTCCTGAAGCTGGTGGTGCGCACGATCTTGGGCGGCTCGGCGCCGCCGCTGCCGGTGAAGTCGCTCCGGTACGGCGCGTCCTGGCCGGCCCGCGTGAACTTCGGCCCGTCGACGAACTGGAGGAACTGCTCCGGTATCTTCGGACTGGTCTTCTTCGCGGTGACGCCCAGCACGAGGATGTCGCGCTTCGACGAGGGCTCGGTGGTGTGCGAGTCCAGCCAGTACTGCACCCTGTCGAGCACGGGCGGCACGTAGTCGAAGGTCGGGTTGTTCTTGAGCGGGTCGCCGCGGCCCAGCGGCGTCCACTCGTCGTAATCCATCCGGGGCGAGAAGACCCGCGGTCGGCTCAAGTTCTGCCCTGCGAACAGAAAATTTCCAGGGGTCCTCGTGACCGATTAAAGCCGGCGGGGTTCAACGCGCGGGTCAACGGCGGCGGGGAGCCGGCGATAGAGAGTTGCCAATTATTCGACGGATCGGCGGATACGGTATAAACGAGGGAAGCCGAGATACCTTGAGTAATGAGGCCCGTCGTCGTGATTAATTGTTCTTAATTTTATTATAGCGCTCGCCCGCTCTCCCGCTCGTACCTCCGGCGCTTACGCCGATTGATTTATCCTTCACCGGCATCACTAACCTCACGATTCTCTAGGCTGCGTAAATTTATGGGCACGCCGCTGCGTGCACGCGAGAGAGACCGAGGAACGAGCATCGCCGTCGCTCGTCGAAACTCGATGAGAATCGGCGAGCGCGGATAGTCGTCGTATAAATTCATACGTCTCTCTCTCTCTCTCTGTCCTGAATACGCGATATCGCGTAACAGCGAGCGTCTCCGCGCGGCCGCACTTTCGTTTAACGTCATCGTCAACCTAGACTACATCGCGAGCCGTTCGACACCGTTGTACCGTAGAACGCGATACAGGCTCGCGCGATATCCCGAGGAGAACGGCCGTAAAATTCGCGGACGGTGCTTTCAATCTGCGTTATCTGGAATTGCCCATTCCTCGAGAACGTTCGATGTTCGACTGTCTCCAGTCAGATTAGCAAATTTCTCTTCTTGTACGGTCGGTGTCACGCGTATGCCGTGTCATTCCCTAGATTTCAACCTTTTGCTGATTTTTGCGTTGACTTCGAGCCATTATCCAGATGCCTCAAATCCCTGCAAGGACATTTTTCAAACACAATATGTAACACAGGATCTGCCGAATGATTAATAATTAACATTTCAGACAAAATCGTCACTTAGATGTGACGTTTTTTTTTAATATAAATATGATTTTGACAATGGTGGCCGCGTAGTTATTTATAGACAGTTGTATTAACTATATTATTTAATTATCCCGTTATCATTTCCGATCATAGTTATTCTGAATATTTCCACTATAATATTTTAATTTCCGCGCCCATTACGAAATAGCCAAGGTGCTATTTGACCAGAATTTTATAATTACGCGACTTCTTTCTTTCTTCCAAATATAGAATTACTTCCGCGATTTTCAACCTTATGAGTTATGTGTAATGAAAATCGTGTAACTCTTCGTCTAATGAATGATACAGCATACATGACGCCGACTACACGCTGTAACGCATGTCACCTGTCCCTCGTGAAGATACGAAAGCCGTACCGCAGCCGTCGTTTCGCAGAATCTCACAGGCGAACCCGTAACATTATATTCGATCTTAATCATGGTCGAGCGAAGGGATACCACTGATTGTCAATCAGAAACGAGTCGTGTTGCCTCTCGGCTACTAACGTCTTCGAACCAACGTGTCTCTCTCTCTCTCTCTTTCTCTCACCTGCTCGCCACGGAGGAATTTCCCCGTGGAGGAAGCCGTCGTGGAAAAGCGGAACAACGTTCGCGTTCATTCCCATCGTTCGCGCGCGAGGCAACGCAGCAGCCACCCAAGATGATAACGTTAAGTAGCCCACCCCGTACGTATCCGCTTCCCTGTGCGTTACGACAAGACGGAGGAGGATCCTGTTACGAAGTTGCAATTCACGTCGCGTCGTATCTCGTCGGGGTTACAGCGACGTGGCGGGCATGATCTCATCCCCGCGCGAGATGAGCGAGCTGTAACGACGAGGACCAGTCCTCGCAACGAGCAAAGGAAGCGAGTCTCTCCTTTAACGAAGTCCGAAGAGAAGGTAGGATGTGTTCTCTCTTTCTCTCTCTCTCTCTCTCTCCTTTTCCCGAAGGACGTATGGCGCCAGGACGGTTGACACGCTCGAGCGCTCGCTGACGGACGGCTCGCGCGTTTTAAGTGAGACGCTCCGTCACGGTGCGCTACACTTAACGATCGGTTATTATTGAGCGCGGATTGCCGTTCTCAGGATTCACGTTCCCGTCGAATGCGCCTTCGGTGACCCACCTTCATTCGGCGATTTATGAGAACAACGCCGGGAACGAATCGGGGGCGGCCGCGAAGCTCCCGCGGTCTCCCACGCCGAATGTCTCGAGAGACATTCGCCGTTCCCACCGGGTGATTTTCTTTAAAAGGTTTCCCTGCGATTTTTAAAGCGAATGTGCGGTCGTCCGCACGCACGTGGTGGCTTCCCGAGTCGAGGTTTGGCCATGCGTGTTAAATATTTGGCTCTACGATAAAGGAGGAGTTAAAATGGCAAAATGTAAGTTCAATTCTAACGATATCATTTATTCCTACTTTGATCAGCATGATATCTTAAGGATGTGTGGCTGAAAATTCAAAATAATGGATGAGTTATGGAAAAATGGCAAATTGATCTGCATTGCGTTTAAAAGTGACACCAGAAGCTCGACAGCATAAGTAATTCATAGTCTGAATCAAAAGTTTTTCCACTTAAGTTATTCCACTTAAAAAGAGGTTAAGACAAAGTGAGTTTAATATTATTTAACTGCTTCTGCAATTAGGAAAAGATGGACCGTCCAAGAGTCGAGACAACTGAAGTTGACATTTTTTTATACGTGTTCCTTGAGATTAGCGTGCCACTTATAAGTTTTATTTTTATCAACTTCCGAACTAAAAAGTGTATAAGAAGTGTATCCCAACTTTTACGCAATGAATTGAAACTACTTTTATAGTTGGAATTCCTTTAATAAGGAGTTTCCAGTAATAAGATAAACGTTCATGCAACATGACGGGGCTCCTCTTCACTTTAGTCGACAAGTCGCGGACCATTTAAACCAAACGTATCCCAATAAATGAATTTGACTCGAAGGCGAATATACATTCGCCCACCGAAATCATCACATCTCATTCTTGTAAATTTTTTCTGCGGTATGATTTTTTAGGTCATTTTATGAACAAATTTTATGGACAGATATGTTCGTATGAATTCATCTTCTTGAAACGAGCACAAAAATTAACTCCTGAAATGTCGAGCGATTTTATGAAAAAATTTTATGGACAAATATGTTCGTATGAATTCATCTTCTTGAAACGAGCACAAAAATTAACTCCTGAAATATCGAGCGGTACTTAAGGAATACTCGGCATATTCAATTATTTGTTACAACATCAAATTTACTGTCCTAAATTATTTCCATATCGGTGATTTCGAGTTTCAAGAGAGAAGTTAACAAGTGTCGATATTGTCAACGTTTTTATTAGTTTATAGGCCATCCAAGTATGGCGCGAATTATCCTTAGGAGCGTCAAAATAGCATCAATACCTCGGGTTCGCTCCGTGGGAACGAAGACGGTAAAAGGCCCGTTCGGACGACGGATTCGCATTGCCGTGAAACATATGCCGGGAGAAATCGGCCGATCGCGCGCATTTAACGCGGTCTGATATAAGGAACGCGGAATGACGTCGTTCGCATTAGCCACGTGATTTGTCGGTTTCTCGCTGCATATGCCGGGCTGCCCGAGGTAGGTCCGGATGAAGCTGGACCAGCGCTCGCGCAACTGGGTTGAGAGCTGTAAAACAATAATGACGAGGTCTTCGTTTAATTCTCGGTCTCGCGACCAAACGCGCAACGTTACTGTAATTGGCGCCGTTCGGACGTTATTCGCGCGCACTGCAACGTGAGATTTCAAGCCGTACAATGCCGCGCGCTAACGAAGTCCCATTCCCTCCGGATACACACGGTAAAACTGTTTCTTACAAACAGTCCACTTGAATTTTCATCTTAATTTAACATCCGGAATGTATTGAAAAGTACGTTAAATTTACATATTCACACCTTGTTAATACGTTACTTTTTAACATGTTCATCTTGTTAAAAATAACGGAAAAATTTCCGGACAACGAGGACCGATAAAACATTGTCCACCGTGTGAATATTCGTGACTGCTGATTGTATACAACCTGTGAACCGATGGAAGGATGCTCCCCGAAGCAGTTACGATGCACGAATATTCCGAAATGACACGCCTTCGGAACTTCCGACGTGCTCGGGGAATGGGACTTCATTAGCGGGCGGCATCGTGCACGTGGTCGATCGTGAACACCCAAGGAGATTCCACTTGTGCGCGCGTTCGCGTGCACGCCCAATATCTCACGAGAAAACGTCCCGATAATGGCCGGTCGGGAGTGTACGCGTTTTCTCCCGGCATTATCGAGGCAATCGACGTTTCTATCTCCCGCCGAGCGCGCCGCCGTAAACGCGGTAGACGTCGGGCATTAAAGGTGCCCGGCCGCGGGTGCAGCAGCCAGCCAGCTATGCATCGCTACATAATGCGCGCGCCGTACACGCGCGCTCGGCTGACGGAAGTACCCACTGACATCTCGAGAGCCAGAGAGCTCTCCGACGGAGAGAAATCTCGCCGTCGTAATCGAGACGGATGTTCCATCGCGGCGACTTTTGAAACGGCTAGAAAAATCTCCGCACGGCTTTGACGGAATAACGGTAACACGGTACAGCGCGAGAGCGCGCCGTTTCGAGCGAGCCTTCGACTGGTCTAATTGAAGAAATACGAATGCAAGTGGACGAACGTTCATCTACGAGTATGCGATTCGTCGAGGTAGACGGATAGGTCGATCCGTCGCCTGTTCCGGGGGAAAGATTGCCCTCGAGCGTGAGGAAGGGAATACAAGCGGAAGTGCAATATTAACCCCCTTCACCGCCACTACGCGCATTTTGGGAGAAAGATATTTATATTTTTCTACGATTTCACCCTGCTTGGATTTTTAAGGATCTTTGAGGTCGCTCAATTCGAATCTGGCATCATAATCTGAAAATTCGAAACGACGCATCCATTGCGGCAAACCGAAATTAAAACAAACCATATTTGACACACGTAAAAAAGAAAAGGAACTTTTTTTTCTCTCGAATCGCTCCGTTCTCCGCCGAACTCAGAGTCACGAAAGGAGGACGTGGCGGTTGTTAACTCTGTTTACTTTTATATCTTGTATATTCTCAATCGTACCGTCGTTTAAGGC